GCCTCTGTCCGTTCAGCACCACGCGGAGCCGGACCCGCTGCTGCCGGTGAGCGACGGCCCCGCCAGAACCCCCCGGCCACCTGCGCGGCTCCGCGGCTCTCCCAGCGGGCTGTGCTGCCCTTGCCCTCCCGCAGGAGCGGACGGATCCCCGGGAAAGGCCAATCCCCTGGGGCTCACAGTTCTCACAGCACCCCCGACTTGCAGCCACTGGGCCCCGTTCCTCCCCCGTTACCGGGCTCTCCCCGCCCCGGGGCTGCCCGCGGCCCGCCCCTGCCCCTCCCAGCCCGCATCCTCCCACGCTGCCAACCGGCTCCTCGCGCTCTCTTCCCCCGCCGGTGCCCCACCTGCCTCCGCAGCCCCGGGGACAGGGCGCGGTCCTTCCCTTTGCCCGCAGCCCCCGCGGAGAAGCGGCCCGGGCCGCTGCCCGCGCAGTTGCCATAGCGACCCCGTAGAAACGGACGCTGCTCCTTCCTCCCCGCTGTCGGTTTGCGGAGCGGGCACCGGCGGGCACCCGGTCCGCGTTGGTGCGGCGCTCACACCACACCTCCGAGCCGGCGCAGGGCGTGTGGCTCCATCTCTGTCTCGGGTCCGAGACACGCTGACTTGTGCAGCATCAAGCTGCTGATTACTGCGGGCATAGGAACTATAAAAAATCCACTTGGCAAAAGAGCAGGGCCCATAGACAGTAAATAAATTCCAAATCTTGGTCTCAAGTTGCTTGGAAAGCAATGACCTGTGCACCCTGCTCTGCTCATTTCTTCAAAATGTAGAAACTGGTCTGTGGAAAGGTCTTCTTTCCTCTGGGGGAAGCTACCCACCCTGTCTGCCCCAGGACATGTAGCACCTGCTCCTCGAGGATTCCAGTGGCTCTTTGAATTAGCACAGTGTATTGCTCATTTAAAGGACAAGTGATGCAGGGTTTTAAATTTTCTGTTGGAGTTAAGAATGGCCCCTGGCCATGTACTGAGACAACTCTTCCTTTCCCTGTGATGGTAGCACTCTGTTCTTGACTTCCCACTGTGAAACAGAAAAGTACCACCTGGCAGAGTCCCTTAATATAAAGAATCATTGGACCTATGGGCAGGAGTGGTGGAAGCTGGACATGAGGCTGATTAGGGCCAGTAAGGTTTACAAGTGCCCCTAAGTGAGAGCTGTTGGCCTATGAGGGGTTTGGCTGGTTGGCTGGATACAGCAGTTGAGATGTATGTGCGAGGTACTAGGAATTATGGACACTTTCCAGCTGTGAAATGTTCATATTGGTCTCTTTTTTATCCACAGGTTGTTTGCATATGCAGAAAGAGCATCAGAGACTATTAGTGTATTGTAGATGTGTGTGCTGAGACACAGCTTTACACCATCAGGATGCTCAGTGAACCCAGAAACCTAGGTCTACACCAATGGTAAGGATCCCAAACCACTACTGACTTTGTGCTCATGTCTGTCAAGTTTTCTTATATGCAGAGCAGTTGTGAAATGGCTGTACAGCACTGCAATACAGGGCTTGGGGGAGTGTTATCTACTGCAGCTTTGAAGTGAAGGGACAGCTCAAAGCAGACAAGCCTGAAGAACCAGAGCTTTGTTAATCTCTGCTCAATCAAGATTTGCAGAAGCTTCTGCCTTTCTGTTGGAATATGTTCTGCCAAAGTTGGGTGTGCATTTTTCTCGAGAGGTGTCTGAAAGTCTCCTTTTTAAGCTTCAGTTGGATGCCCATTTTTAGTTGATCCATAATACCTCAAACAGGTCTGCCAAAACAGCTTTCTGAGTTGGACCTGGTGAATGCTGGGCTGTGACACCTACAGTTCTTGCAGGACAGCTGGGGGAGTGTATTGCACAGGCACCTTCAACACTCAGGGGATGCTGTTCAGTTCCCTGGCACTCCTGTTATCCCAGTGGCCACTGATGTCTTGTGGGGGAAAGCAGGGCTACTGCATCAGGCCTTGAGCTGATCCATAGTAATGAGAGACCAAGAGGAGCCCCAGGGGGAGGAAGCAGATTAGCTCACAACAGCTGCTGCTACTGCAGCTTTCTTGTATATTCCTTGGAAACATATGGTGCTGGCAGCTTGCAGAGCCAGGGCATGGCATCTTCACCCTCATGAACATCTCCTGAAGTCAGCAGAGACTTCAGCCAGCTCCACTGCTGCAGGGCAATGCTGATGCACAGCTAAACTTCTGAAGAGTCTAGAGAAGCAGTTTGGTCATCACCTCACCCTTTAGGAAGTGGAGATGAGATTTAGGAAATGGGGCCCTGAAGGAGGGGAAGTTTTGTGGTTAGAAGAGCTGACCACAAGTGAGGAACCCAAGGGGTTTTTTTTCCCAGAGATGCTCCTGATTTGCTAGATATAATGGGCGAGTCTCCCCGACTTGTGCCTTTTAACTTTTCCCTTGCATTGAACATTCAGTTATATCCATGTCGGAGGTGTATTCAGAAGTTGGCTGGGTTTCTGCGGGCCTGCTGGGGTTTCCAGAAGCTAGTGCTGTCCAAGGGTACAACTTATTTTTAGGAGATCAATATGATGCCAAGCGAACATTATCCCAATGTTCTGGGATCTATCACCTCGTATGATGGCTTGGCACCTTGCTGTCTAAACACCTTTAGCCTTGCAAAGACTTTGGGGCCATTTTCTTTACAGTTTTCTACTAGTCTCAAGTGGACAAGAAAGTTGTGAAGATCCTGTCAAGGACACAACTAGCTCTGCAGTATTCACTCCTCTAAGATGTTAGAGCTAGCTGAATGCAGTACCAGAGTTCAGTAAAGCCTCTCAATACTGTTTTTTCTTGGACTCTCACCAGGTTCTTTCAAAGGATCTGGCTCCATATTTTCTCTGGCTGCTGGATAAGTCTGACAGCCACCATCACTCTCAGGGTTGGAATGGACCACTGCTGGACTTCTTCGTTGCATGGGAGAAGGTACTGAGCTCATAGGGTAAGCTCTGCAGTCAGTCAGTGCTGAGATTGCACAGTGTAACCAGAAGCCATTTCTAAGCTGGTGAAACAAGAACACATGGTGACTTCTGTTCAACTCTTCCCTATACATGCCACCTTCCTACTGCTTATTCAGAAAATAGTTTGACTATACACTCAGGGCTTAAAAAAAAATTAACTGGAAATAAAGCAAGACCAAGTTCTGCAAGTCAAGGTTGAAAGAGGATTATGCATGAGAAGCTCCCAGCTAAACGGAAATACAGGGCTGTTCTGCAGCATCCCACTCGTGAATCCCCTGCTTTCAAGCTTTCAGTGTGTTCTTTGCATTTGTCTCTACACATTTCCATGACAGCCATTTTGCTCAGTTTTCTGGATATATTTGGAATTACTGGATTATTTTTAATTTGTATAACTGACCTTCAAGGCCTTTCACACAATTCCGGTATGTGACTATGTTCTTCCTGTGCTGGGTCAGACTGTGTGCCTGGGGCTTACTGTTTCTTTTCTGCATAAAATACTCTGTGTTCATTGCTCTCACTTCCCTTTACATCCTTTCACCTTTCCCCATGTGAATCTTGAGTCTGAAGGTATGGGAAAGGGATCACATCTTATTGTTGCATAGATTAGCTAGAGAGCAGTCTAAAGATCTGTGCTGCAGCACAAGCCTGTCCTGGGAAGCTGCACCAGAGTACGGGTGATTTGGGTTGTTTCAGACTAAATTTGTCTTTGGTGCAGTGACTCACCGTCGTGAGGTAGGTCTGGTGAATGACCCGCTGGCACCTAGGAAGCTCTGTCTTCACTGGAGAGACAACCCTGCCACTCAGAAATCCCTTGCTTTCCTTCAAGACCGTCTTTGCCTGAGCATCTTTTTACCAAGAGATACTCCCACACAATTGTTCCCCTAACTGTTGTGTAGGGAGATTATTTATGGCTCATGCTGTGCTGAGGCCCCACCTCCCACGTCCCCAGGACAGGTTTTATCATGCTGTCATTTCTGCCTTCATCCTGACAGAGCAATGCTGGTGCAGGAGGAAGCCCACTCCCTGTGCCGGTGCTGCCTGGCGCTGGGAGTCTGATTTCTGTGATAGCAGGTGTGCCTGGGGCATTACAGAAATATTTTGTTAC